TTGGAACCATATCTACATTGTTGTTTCGTATTTGAAGCTACATAAAACAGCAAAAATAAACATCAGAAGAAGAGACGAAAATTCGATGCGGAAATCAATTGTATTCATAGATCAGCGGCTATGGCTCCAGCTATTTTCTAGTTCTTTTATCTCACGTATGACAAGGTTACGGAGGGTAACTCGCAGATACTGATCCTTTTTCGTTTATGCACAGATGACACTTTATTTTAATTCCACAAGATTCAGTCTTGATTCGCTCTACTTTCAGGAATAAAACTTGAAATTAGATTTTTCTAACTTATTGAGTGTTTGGATCACAGATACGATGGATCGTCTACAGCTCTTCAAATTCCCTCCTCTTTTCGCCAAGATTCTAACAGATTTAAAACAGGTCTGTATATGAATAGTGAAACAGTAACAACATCCTCACTTGAAGATTTTATTGTTGTTTGATCTTGTTGATTGGATCTTCCTGAATTCATCGTATCTCCGATACTATAAGCTTTTTGCGTATCATCATTACGATTACTTGCATGACTACGCGATGAACGCGAAGTATCAGCGTTCATATTTGATAGTTGATCATCAGGAGGAGCCACTGTATTAAGTGATGATGTTTGTGAAGGATGTTGAAAACGATCACAATGTGTCGAGTCAGACAGTTGACGACAATTGGAACCAAATCTACATTGTTGTTTCGTATTTGAAGCTACATAAAACAGCAAAAATAAACATTAGTGTGCCGATATATACGTCACGGCTCACTGCTCTTCCTCTTCCTCTCTCTATTCTTCTCTCTATGTTGTCTCTCTCCCTTTGTTTCTGTATCATATATAAGCGTGTGTTGAATGTGAAATAGATACACTCTGGATATGTGAAGTAGCTGAATAAACATCATTGCCGAGAGTGGCACAAGCTACTCCAATCCAGTTTGTCGTTACAATTAGCAGATGGACTGAGAAATTCGATGTGAAATAGAATTGTATTCAGAGATTAGCAGCTATTACTCAAGGTACTACGAAGTTCTTTCATCTCATGTATGGTAAGGTTATGTAAGTTATTCGCAGAACTCGATCAGTTTTCGCTCGTACACAGACTACAGCGTCTTTTATTTTCATGAAATTCAAGTTTTATTCGTTCTATTTTCAGATATCAACTTGCAATCAGGCTTTTCTAACTTATTGATCAGTTTGATGAGAAATTCTCTGGATTGCCTACAGCTTCATAGTCGCCCGTTTTGCCACCGAAATCCTTGCGGATTTACAACAGATTGATAGGTACATAGTGAAACAGTAAGAATATCCTCACTTGAAGATTTTATTGTTGTTTGATCTTGTTGATTGGATCTTCCTGAATTCATCGTATCTCCGATACTATAAGCTTTTTGCGTATCATCATTACGATAACTTGCATGACTACGCGAAGTATCAGCGTTCATATTTGATAGTTGATCATCAGGAGGAGCCACTGTATTAAGTGATGATGTTTGTGAAGGATGTTGAAAACGATCACAATGTGTCGAGTCAGACAGTTGACGACAATTGGAACCAAATCTACATTGTTGTTTCGTATTTGAAGCTACATAAAACAGAAAAAAGATATACGAAAAACAAATGAGAAAAGCTTAGACAGACCCAGGTCGAAAAGTACCGGCCGGTTCCCGCAGGAAAACACCGGAAATAGCCGGAACATGGAAGCAGTATTCCGGCCGGAAATTTTCGGAATTTTTTCCGCTGATTTTCCGCTCGGTTTCTGCGGGAAAACACAGGAAATTGGCCGGAATTCACCGGAAAAAATCCGGAGTATTTCCGGCCGGACTACTGCTTCCATGTTCCGGCTATTTCCGGTGTTTTCCTGCAGGATACGGTGATTTTTCCCGCATTTTCCTGCCGGTTCCTGCAATATCCGGTGGCCGGAACGATCGACCTGGGGAGTACAGTTTCGTTTCGAAAAGTGAAGTAGGTCGATTATTTGGGATGAAACCCAACGTAAGCTAGTTTCGTTTCATACACTTTTTCATAGTTCTATTGGTAGATCATAAATATTAGATGCTGAGTACCATCATAAGTCAAGTGGTTGCTATGCCACTAGATTGAACCATGTTCCGAAAAAATTTACTCTATGCAAATGAAATCTGAATGATGATAAATCTCATACAGGAATGACATGTGTTGTAAAATTGATCTCCCTAATGCACTTGCGAGATAATCTGTTGTTACTTACCACTATCTGTAGTAGAAAAATTTGTTGGTGCAACATTCCATATGTCGTTAGACGGTGTATTAATATCGGAATTCTTTGCTGTACTATAAAATAGATTTTCAAAAGTTTCAAAATTTTTCAACATAGTAGATAACTTGTTTCGATACTATTGTCAGCTCGACTTTTCAAATGAAGCATTCGTGCGCCCTTTGAAAAAACGAGAATAGCACTGATTAGAGACTCCACTTTCACCACTTCTACTACCATATGATTAATCGCTTTCAAGTCCACACTACTCAATTTGTAGGGACCAGTAAGTGTGTAAACAATCTACGGTGGTTGAATCGTCTGCGTAGTTCTTTGATGAGATATTGCATTTTCAGAGTGGAATCTCTTATTAAGGTTGACTCTATCTGTGGTTTTTTGAGGTTTCGGCGATACAAGCTTCGACCTAGTTCACGAGAAGGGTGAGTGTAGGTGAGTTATGCTTGTAGCTCTTCTTTTCATTCTCACCTACGTGAAAACCCACACTTGCACAATAAAATTTTTACTTAGATATTTATATCTTTTGATCTGAAAAAAATTGTACTTACGGTTATCCAAAAGTTCTGGCGTCACTATCTTATTTTCTTATAGAAAGCTTAAAAAAAATTTCTTTTTTTATGAACAGATAGGACGTCTTTCGTTCTATTTTTCTATGCTATTTGATCATTATTCAACTAATGTCATAATAATAAAATTTCGATAAGAACTGTTTTTGTTGAAAGCTAGCTGATGGTATATTAGATCATAACTAGGGGTGGCACTTTATCTTTATTTCACTTTATTAAAGTAAAGTAAAGTAAAGCATTTGGCTTTACTTTACTTTACCCGGTAAAGTAAAGTTAATCTATTTTACTTTATCGAGTAAAGTAAAGTAGATCTACTTTATCCGAAAAGTAAAGTAAAGTAAAGTGAAGTATCTCTAACTTTATCAAACAAGCAAGATATAGTAAAATAAGATAAAGTAAAGCATGCAGTTGATGGTTATTCATTTATTAGTTTATTATCACACATTAATCACACTCTAATACGTCAAAAGTTGCGTCGACTTACGGATCGGAGGTCCCAAAAAGTTAAAATCTGATTTTATGACTTTGGAAGTCAGCATCGAACTCTGAATATTCTTCATAATTCTGTATTCCACATGAT